TGTTTGTGGTCCTGGTAATTTGCGCTTTTAAGGCACTACTTCCCAGCTGTCATATATACCAAGGGATACTTCCTCTCTTTTCCTGATAAAAATTTACCCTTAAAGTCGACGGCATTTACGGATAAATTGCCTTGGGACGTGATCATTCCTTCCGGCAATATTTCAAGGGGTAAATTTGTCCCTCTCGTTGATTGAATTTCTCCGAGACCGGGGAAATAATATTGAGTATTTTCACTTTTCTTTTTGAAAAAAAGTTGATTTGACTTTGAAATTATGATTTCATTCTCGGAACCTCAGGTTAGTATGTAAGCATGTTAGAACTTTGACCCGGATGATGCAGGCACTGTTTTCGTGCTGCTGACCGAAAGGCCACATCTCATGTGCACGGCATATTGCATGCCTCGAAGACCACTTTGTTGAAAGGTTTGACTAACTCTTTCCACTTTTGTCAGTTGTGAGGTGGATCTAATGTACCTCCGACTACCGGTCGTGTGGACAACAGCATCGCCTGCTCCATGATCGCCTTCTGGGGGAAGTTTGATCAACTTTTTTTCTCTATTATGAGTTTGCTCTGTAGCCCTCTTGCTACCGGTAGGACGGGCGCCTATCTGTGCGTGCTCTAACCTCTCCTCTTTTAAAGGCTCCGATTAACCGCTTTAGAGTTTTTGTTTCATCTACTGTGAGTTAGATCTCTCTCTCTGTTGTTGGTAGTGGCAAAGGTTGGCGGACTTAGCTGGACACTCCACAAATTTGCATAGCTCCCTCATTATAAATTCGCAATCTTTAATGCGGCAAAGATTATAACCAAACACCTCGTTGGATGCCACTGTGTGTATTTATTACCCTCTATGTGCATGCGTGTCTGTGTGTGTGTGTGTGTGTGTGTGTTGTAGATATCTGTCCTTGTGTCTGAGTAAAAATTGACTTCATTCACCTGTGCTCTGCAAAATGATCCAAAAGTTATTGCTCCGACTAATCAGAAAAGAGAAGAAGGCGGGGGATGGTAAAGGCTGGTGGGAGGGGAAAAACCGAAGAACGCCTCTAAGACGGCATCCTTATTTGTAATGTAAAACTGTGATTTCAGTAGCTAACACATGGCAATTAGCTTTTGACAGGTGACTGTAGGCATGGTTTCAACTAACGGGAGAGGGGGTGGGTGTCTAGTGATCACAAGTAAATAAGGGTGTGTCATCGCCAAAGGCTAGCCTTAATGTCCTTCTGGTGCGTTCAAAATGTCGACTGGATGTGAGACAAATACACTAAATAAACCATTTGACAATGCAATATTTTTCTCTTTTTTTCCACTTTCTCCTTGTTGTTACTGGGTTTGAAACGGCAAGTGGTCACTGTATCGTGACAAAGAGAGAGCTCTACAACCGCCACCATGTTTACTGGTGGTTGTCCAACCCAATCTCCAGTTGTGCATGAAGCTGATATTGGCACGAGGCCAAGCAGGCATGAATTGAAGCTGGTGACAGAAGAACCGCCTACGATGATGACAGTAAAGAGGGGGTAATAGGTAACATCTGAAGGCACGACATCTGTCCACGTTTGTGGGGCCAAGAACAACTGAAAGCGATTGATGTGATTCATAGATTTAGAAAGCTCCTTCCCCTACAATTCTTCTTTTTCCCCAGTGAGGTAGAAGATCATTAAAAAGACTTTGGAAACTAGAAGAAAAACTTCCACCTCTTGCTACCGTTGTTTTTGCACTTCTCCCGTTTCTCAAGCGTCACTTCCCCATGGAATGCGGTCATACGGTCATCTGATGTTAACGCTGCTGGGATGGTTTCAAAGAATGAGGCTAAGTCAGTGTCATCCCTCCGCCCTCAAATGCCAATCTCCTTGCCATAAGACAGCCGAGCCAGGCAAACAATCTGGAGATGTTTAAGGACAATGAATTGAAGCCTCTTGCCTGGCGCAAGGGGACGGCATTCACATAAGAGCTTTTATAATTTCCTTCCAGATGGTAAATAGGTGAAAGAATTGTCACGACACTCATCCAGAACTAATGCTGAAAAGCAGATAAATAAATGACAAGGCTAGAATGTTGCCCTGAACACGATGTGGTGGTCTTTGAACAATTCAACAGCACCGAACAAATTCTGGGCTACGTGGCCAACTATCACATGTAAGTGCAGAACCTGCTCTCAGTACAAGATAAAAAAAAACGTAACTGGGAGGTTCGGTAGCTTTGCAGGTAAATCCACCTCCTCAGTTCACAAAGCAGTCAATCTCAAGCCACACCCACCACGTTCAACCGACGCTGTGAGACGTGCGGGTTCAAAGTGGACAATCGACTGATGCCACGTATACAATCGTGTGCATTTTACCAATTCCTACTTCGCTCCCCTCAGTCAAGCAGCCCCTTCGTGTAGGCACTGCCCTCAGCATAGACCACCTTCTTTCGTTTCATTCCAAGGTCTTCTCATTCCTCGCACCATCACCACTTTTACCCACCTCACTGCCACATCCAACTCACTTGAACCCTCTTACGATAGCTCATTGTTTGGGGTCAACCAGTACAAGGGTATGGGGACCAAGCTTCTTCTGAGCAACATCATCCCTATTGTGTTTGTTGGGACTTGTGATTCATGCTACACACCGGTCTCCCAGTCCTTCTGCCTGCTGGTACTAAGGCAACGTCAACACTCCTAAACCGTTAGCGCCATCTTTTTTTCATTAGGGGCAAATTAGGAACTCTCGAGGGGGGGAATACTCAAAGTCTAGAGGTCACTCTCAAACGTCACCACTCAGTAGAATTGCATATGACTGTGGTGACACCAACAATTGAGGTCATTTAACACCCTGAACTTGTGGTTGTGACAGTCCTACCACATTCCACATCTCCCATCTCTCACCTCTAGGTAGGGCAGGATGGCTACTCATGAATGGAATCTAAGACCTGTCAATCTCTCCAACCCAAGTAATTACACTACATCTCAAAAGTCTATCACTGAAGGCTCTTTTCTCTCCCACCTTCGTCATTATAGGATGGGGAGATTGAAAAATAAACTGCCTTTCCATCATTCCATCCCGTGTGAATATATCCCATCTTTTGGTTGATCGCCTACCCGCTAGTAGAAAATAATGCCTCGAGGTACTTGATGCATCCTTATATATTTCTAGATTGAGGCCAACAGTGCCAAAAGTTTCCCCTTTGACACATTTGAAGGGCCCCTATTTTATTGGCGATTTCAGGACCTAAAAATACAATAACTAAACTAGGGTATTTTACATACTTCCAAAATTCAGTGAATTCCTGTCCTTTGCCCTGTCAATTTGACCCGTTTCCTCGTGGCAGATATTTTTGTTGTTGTTGCTGTTTTTTGAAATAACAGAATGACCCTACTTGATCTGTGTCTGGCATTCCAAGGCCGAGTGATAGGGGCCATCTGAAAATCTAAATTAACACGGAGAGTGCTCTTTATTCTGTATTAAAAAGGACAAATGTTTACGGATTTTTTAAGATAACTGACAGAAATAGATTAATTTGACGTTTTTAGAACAACCGCCTGACGTGACCCTTTCTGTTCTGTGAAATTTCCTACACCTTTGAGTGGATTTCCATGAAATATGACAAATGAAGGGGAATACGGTACAAAGCATTGACTTTAAAGCACATAGCATTAAGCAGACCCTTTCGGTCTCTTTTGATTCTGCCACTAGAGTGCCATCTGCTCTACATGTCCAGATTAACGATAGCCTTCTGAGGTCGTTTATATCAAACCAATGAGGTTGCACTTCTTCATGGCTCCAAGTTACGCGTCTATGCATGATTAGATCATGTCTGTAGAGTTGAAATGTCAAGGGAAATAGTTGCTAAAGCAGTAAGTCACTTAAAATGAAAAGTTACGGATTAAAAAACCAACAGACTTGCTCCGCACTTTGGCCTTGGACGGTTCTACCAGATGTCGCCGTGACAAGTGCATTACTTTTCTTAATATTTGCTCTCTGTAGTATGCCTAGCGTTAAACCAGTGACTGAAAAGCACTTTTGGTTCAAAAAAAGGTGTGTAATTGGGACTTCGTCTGCCGAGATGCGTTTTCGCCATCACGTCAACTGTGCGAAAAGCTGTCATATAACCACGGTGTCCAGACATGTTGACACTACAAATGCTCCGCTTAAAAGCAATTGATTGTGCAATTGCGTTTAAAGGCAGTCTGTGCCTCTGTCGAATGTTTCACGTGCTGAATGACTATTCATAAGCGTGACGCTTACACCCTGAATCACAGACACATACACGACAGCCTGTGAAAGGTTTGCATCCTTTAAATGTACCACTAAGACTGTAGCCATTCCGCATCTCCTTTGAAGCCTCTTTTCCGTTAGTGGGATCGTGGTTCTACTTCCCCATTCAGGAAGGAAAAAATCTTCGTTTAGTGCTACAGATCTTTCCATATATATGTAACGCCACGAGACTTCTCTGAAGATGAAAGAGGACATAATACTTAAGAAGAATATATATGTCTGACATACAGAAGGGCTCGGGGCTAGTGATGTGGCCTGGACCCCAGCCCACCCGGTGAAGATACGGTGGCGGAGCACATAATTGGCCCCTTCACTAAAACAGAGTTGAACAACCAACGCATTGCACATGAACTCAATGCCACTGTTGTCTGCTGTTTTGAATAACGATGTCTGAAATGCCACCACGATTAATGTGCATCTGCTACCGGTGATATTTGAAGGAAGAATCTGCCATAAACTCCTCAATTTAGGGTCCCACTTTAGTTTGAACAGTCGAATTACTCCACTGTGACTTCATTAACCATCACTGGGTCACTGTTTTGACTAATCACTTTATATTTTCGGGTCCAAATTTTGCATTAATTTACTTCCTTTCTTCCCTTTTGAAAACTTTGCCCCCAGTAGATTAGGCTGGAGAAGGATGTACGCCTAAGCCCACTTACTTGCCATTTTACTTGGTGATGTGGGGTATGGGGAGCGGGGTCGGTGGGTTGAGGTGGTGGGCTGGTGATGGTGGTGGCGGTGGTGGCAAAACGGCTGTTCAGCATGAAGGCAGCGCAGATGTGTTTAAACGCGTAGTGGTTCAAATGACCTCCACTGAGTGGCGTGTACTTCTAACGTGGAGGGGTCTTTTTCAACCCACAGCACCACATGATGCATGTGGTGCATTCTGCCTCAAAGGAAAAAAACATTAAAATCTTCTCCGATAAAAACAATTTACTGTGATGAGTTTCCAAAAGAAAAATAAAACAAAGAAAACATGCATTGTTTTTTCAAAGAAAGAACAGCTTAATCTGGGGAAGTGAGAGCGCGCAGTTTTGAGGTCACTGTCAACGTTTGATGAGAGAGAAGAAAAATAAACGCTTGGAGGATGTGTTGAGGTGTTGTTTGGAGCTCCCCGTCCTCCTCCTGCTAAAGTGGTTATTTTTGTATATACGTGTTGTACTCAAAAGCCAAATGTGGTTTTTAGCGCTTGCATTCATTTACTGGGACGTGAGCTCTCACTGTGGCATGATTTGACAATGTGACAAGTTGTGGATTTTTCCAGAAAGCAAAATAAGAGTAGGACACCCAAATATTTGTGAGTCAGTATTAGGCTAAAAATCCTCACCAAATCACAAGCAGAAAGAAAAAAGATATTTTACATTCCTCGAAAAAAATGTGCGTCATTGAGAGGAAAATAAATGCACCAACAAAGGCAGGAGGAAGAATACTATCACAGATTTATTAAGGGTGGAGGGGTCGAACAGTTCAATGAGAGATCAGATATGACAATTGGGAAGCAGTTCTTCAAAAGCGCAAATTACCAGGACCACAAATG